TTTTTTTTTTAATTTTAATTTCTTGTTTTTTATTTCATTGCTTTCTGCTCTTTGTTTCCTTTTGTTTGGCTTTAATTTTTTTTGACGTTTTTAAGGTAATAGATCAGTTAAATCTGAGATATTTCTTGTTTTCTTTCTTTTAATTTTATTTGTGGCTGCGTTGGGTCTTGGTTGCTGTGCGAGGGTTTTCTCTAGTTGTGGCGAGTGGGGGCTACTCTTCATTGCGGTGCGTGGACTTCTCATTATAGTAGCTTCTCTTGTTGCGGAGCATGGGCTCTGGGCGCATGGGCTGCAGTAGTTGCAGCATGCGGGCTTCAGTAGTTGCGGCACGTGGGCTCAGTTGCGGCACGTGGGCTTAGTTGCTCCACGGCATGTGGGATCTTCCCAGACCGGGGATCGAACCCATGTCCCCTGCATTGGCAGGCAGATTCTTAACCACTGCATCACCAGGGAAGTCCTTCTTGTTTTCTAACATAGATGCTTGGTGCTATACATTTCCCTCTAAACACTGGTTTTAGCTGCATCCCACAAATTTTGATACGACATGTTTTCATTTTTATTCAATTCAAAATATTTTCTAATTCCCCCCCCCCCCCCGCCTTTTTCTGTTTTGGCCGTGCTGCGTGGCTTGTGGGATCTTAGTTCCCTGAATAGGGATTGAACCCAGGCCCTTGGCAGTGAGAGAGTAGAGTTCCTAACCACTGGACCACCGGAGAATTCCCTCTAATACCCCTTTTGATGTCTTCTTTGATCTATGGGTTATTTAGAAGTGATATTTAGTTTCCACATATTTGGGGATTTATCAGGAATTGGTTTTTAATTTAATTGTACTGTGTTCAGAGACCACATTTAGATTACAGTGTTCTGTAAATGTCAATTAAGTCAAGTTGGTTGATAGTGTTGTTCAGGTCTTCTTTAATTTTCTTTCTTTTCATCTGTGGTGATTTTCTTTCATTTTGTTCTGTCAGTTACTGGAAAGGGATGTTGAAATCTCTACTTGTGGATTTGATTATTTCTCCTTTTAATTCTCTCACTTTTTTTTTTTTGAAAATTACATTCTTTATTTTTAAACCATCCCTTAATATTATCACATTTGCTTTGTAGCCAATAAAAACAACATATGTATGCTTGGGTGTGGAAGATGGGGTGAGGCAATGTTGATGGAGAGC